CATTTTTCGATGAAGCTGCCAGGATAACCATTCATTGTGAAGAGTTTCCGCAAATACCTGACCTCGGCCTTTTTGTCGGCTGGTTCGCTGCAGTGGGTTTCTGCGCGGCCAAATAGCGTCGTCGACCATTGAGGAAATTATATTCTACAGATGATTAAGTCCAATTTTGTATGACTTCATAACCGCACGGTATCTCTCTTCCTCTTCTTTAGAGTATGAAACAAAGAGCAAAGGTTTGGCTGGGCATGATAAAGTCTGGCTACTGGTCGCCCATTGTGATCGTCTCTGTTATGGTGATCCTCGCAATTGCCACTGGCGTCTCACCGAAGGAGGGCACCATTTCTTACTGGAAGTGCGCTGTCCTCTTCACGGAAGAGATGTTTCTCAACTGCATGGGCATCTTTGTTACGCTGGCTGCCTTCCTGAAGATTCGCCGGCTAAAGTTCACTATTCCCTCACAACAGAGCAATACTGACGAGTTTCAGTTATACATTGCCTTCTTCTTTACTGTTAATTACTTGGTCGCAACCGTGGCCCTGACCAGCTACTTGCAACGCAACACTGACTCCCCGGTGAGTTTTACTACCCGCCTAGGCATAAGTCTCCTTCGACTACAGTAGTTTCTCTATCTCATGAAATGTCAACCAAAATTCTAAACATGTGTTTTCCATTCAAAAATAGTAATTAAGTATGGTGGCGATAATGATTACCCTACAGCTTAATTCCTACATATTTCCGTCACTTCAGGATGTCGGCTTTTGAACAAGCTTCATTCTTATCACCTGAAAAGGCTTATTATGTAAAAAATGACAACTTATGTAATATGTATTTTTCGCAGTAATTTTCACTGCCCTTACTTATTCAAATATATTTTTTTAGGAAATATGCAAAACATATTGTTTTCTGTAGGAAGGTATGCCTTCTTCAAAATTTATACTTGAAGAAAGGGTATCTGTACGTTTTAAAAACGTTCTTAATTTCTGAATACCAGTCATTCACTCGACTTCAAAGTCTCTAAACTACATGTTGTATATATTATGTCAAAGGGAAATTAGATATTTTCCTACGGTGTGATGAAGGAGTCACATAGTTCTCATAACATTTTGCAATGCATGTAGATCAAGTTTTATAATTTATAATCAATGGATAGGTACGTTGCTTTATGAATGCACAGTTCACGGTTGTAAAAATGCTCATAATTAGAAGCTTTTTTGAAATCGAAAGGTGTCCTTGCTTCAAGTGTAAAATTTGAAGAAGGTGTAATTTGCAACCAAACAAGTAAAAGAAATAGTAAAGAAGACAAAGGCGCGATTACTGGGACAGCAATTACAGTAGTCGCCAAAGACCACGCAACTCTCATAATTTTGTATAAGTTTGATCATTACTCGAATCCCAGTGCGAATGTATTTAA